CGTTACCAGGAAGGGAAGACATGACTTTTCAAATAAGTGTCTTCATTTTAATATATATAGTGCAATTGCTGCTTCACTATAAACTGAGAAAGCATACTTTCTTCAGTCAGATTTTTACATGGCATTTTCATTGCGCTCCAGCCTCTTGTAGGTCTAGTAAAACTTTGCACCATGGGTTGAACTCAATATAAACAATAAACAACAAAACCTTTGGCCATACAGTTATTTGGAAAATGTATATGGTACTCAACAAGGAGTTTTTGCTCTGGATTTCACTTTCCTTCAGAACATTAATTATCCAGTAATTATTATTTGAGATCTCTTAGCTAACTAGCAGTATTCAGAATTCTGACTTAAGAAAGGGGGTACATTTTGTTTATTACTCAAAAGTACTTTCTACTGGCTTACAGGACACATCTCGATGAACGGGAAACAACTTCTTTTAAAATCTACATGGTAGAACATCAGTCCCCTCCCAAACCAGCATAATTTCTTATTTATTTGCCCTAGTTATTTGGCAGATATATCACTGCATTGTCTGCATTCTTCACTAATATTTTATCCTTTCAGTACTTGACTGAAGAAAGAAAAAATTGTTTGCCTGCCTGAAGCATTATCTGACTTTTTGGCAAGTTTTTTGTGGAAGAATAAAAAGATAAATGTATATCAAGTCATCAGTTCAGTCTGTCAGGACACAAAGTGTGAACTTCCAGTCCCCACTTTTCTGTCTGTACTACCCGGTGGATTAATTCTGTGAAAGAGCAAAAGGACTCAGGCCTGAAATAATGCCTAAACTAATGATGCATAAAAAACTCATCCCTGCTTGAAAAGATGCAATGTAAGTTTGGTCTTATCCTGTTCTCTTGATTATATTTATCTATGTTGGAGTAGCTAGTTGTAAATGTCAAATTCTCATCAGAAGAGAAAGGAAACAAAGGAGCAGAGAGTATTTCTTTTCTGAATTTGAAAGATCCTGTTTTGGAGGCTGTTCTGTGGTTGAAATACTCTTCCCTTAGAACTATTATTTAAAAAGAAGTGTAATCCAGGTATGTCTCTTCTCAAGAAAATCACTTAGTATACTTCATGTAAAATTAAATTCAAGCAATCTTCCTCTTCTTTCATTTTAATGATACTCAATAATTTGGGCTTTCATATTGTCCACTTGGACTTTTTCAACCTGCACAAGCAAATTACTTTGACCCTTGCAAGTGATTTTCTGTATTTTTCCTAATGTCACCTGGTGTCCTCCATTGACATGACCGAGACAATACATTATCTCTCTGCTTTTACATTCATCTTTCAAGCAGTAAGCAACAATAAGCAAAACCACTACCTGACAGATGATAGCGCAGTTCTTTTAAATGATTTATACTGGGGTTAAAGATGGGGAATCTCTGTTATCCCTCTGTCTTTTGCCAACCCAATTTAATCTTTCTGGGACAGAAATTTCTATACTTCATATGAAACCTTCTCTGCTCTATACTCAGTTTTTCTGAAGAAACTATAGGCAAGAGACTACATCATATGACAGTTGTTTCACACAGTAGCTCCCAACTTTTCACAGCTAAAGCAAAGCATTACTTTTTTTTTAGAGACATTCAATCCTGATTTAAAAAATCAACTGATGAAGAGTCTGCCAAAATACTGGCTAATTACCTTGCCTGTAAAACTGCATGCACCTTATTTTCAATTTGTCTTTTCCTACCTCTAGCTCACAGTGATGTAGCTCTTCAGTTCCCACTAGATCAAAAAGACCCAAATCCCACGTATAGACATATGGGGATCAAGTTATCTCTCAATGTTCTTTAGAGCAATTCAGCTGCATCCTTAAAGGCACTTTTGTTTTTAGGAAAGGAGTCACACAGGGAACTCATTTTTAACCAGATACGCAGTCATCTCTACAGCCTTTTCAAAGCTATAGCTTCTCCACATACAGTTTCTGTCCTTTTTGTGTTGTAACCCACTTCTACAGCATATGGACTATAATATATTGCATGCAACCAAAAAATGTGTGTTTTGCTAAGTTATTCAGATCTTTTCATCCTCGTCACTATTATGCTCCAAAGATCACTAAACTTTCTAAGGGTTGATTTTATACTTCTTCCAGAACACTGGTAAAAATACTGAATACTAGAAAAAAGCATTTGCAAGGACCCACTAAAAATAAGCACAGGTAAAGATGCTCCTCAGACACAGTGTATTGTGTCTGGACTTTACACACATGGAAGGGCTTGTACTAACATTACTGCAGGAAGGATTGGTGCTTTGAATGTATACCTAATGCAAAAGGGCAGCAAGGGGAATAATGCAGGGTCTCTCAGGAGATTAGTTGCCTTTTAAGAATGGCTCAGTAAATAAAGAGGGGAAAAATTCATGTGACTTGCCAGCAAATAAATAAAGTCTGCCTCAAGGCAGGTTTAATTTGCACAATGAAAATATTTCAATAACTAAGTATATATACATACACAGACACTTTTATAATGAATAAACAAAGTATGCACATTTAAGCCAAAATCTTTCTTTCCCCATTTTTGGCAGATTCCATCATTTAGTTTGGCTAGAATAATCCTTTACCCTGCTTGTATTTAGTATGTAACAGAGGTCCCATATTGTATGTATAGGTGAAAGGGAATATCACAGTGTTTCACAGCAAGCACATGTCCACCTCCATAAACTCTACAGAATTAAATGCAGAAATCACATGCACTACTTTTATGAACTGGACCCTGCATTTCTTTACGGGTAACAGATGTGGCATTACCTTGCTAATGCAGGGATATGATGACATGTTCTCAATTTGATTACAGGAAAACTGCAGCTCTTAATTATAAGACCTTTCAATAGCTAAACAAACACACGCACACAACAGAAACAAGAAACAGGCATGATGGATATCAGTGTGATAAACTGCAGGCTACGGTGATAAACTGGAGAGGCACCATGAATTGTGTTTAAGCACCTTTTGTTTACTTCACTTTCTGTTCAGTGCGGAAACTAAGCCCAGCATGCCCAAACAGCTGAGTTTATCCACCACTGATATATGGCAGGCACTTTCAAATCTTTCTGAACAGAAGTGTTACTAGGCAGCTTTCGTCACAGGGCAACCACCACTCTAGAAAGTTGGGGGACATATTACTAGACAGTATACAATGAACCAGGATCCAAATTCACAACCAGACTGCATCTTGTGAAATCCAAATGTGTGTAAAAACCTAACCAATCTCAAGCACTGTTTCACATTGTGGTTAAAAGAAAGTAAAGAGTAAGTTCTCCAGCAGGATTCCTTCAGTGTATCAGCTTCCTGAACAACCCTTGGTTGGGCAGGTCTACTTTCTCCACATCCCCTGGCCTTACTGCCCCTTTTCTTCCAGGGTTGGGTCTTTAGGCTTAAGTCCTCATGGAGCAAAAGAAATTAGTCCCATGAGATTAGCCACTGTAGCACTGAGAAGAGTATATATAAAGTATTCAAATCATTAAATCAGTAAGACCTATACGACTATGTATGTAAAACAGGAGTGTGCAGGAACAGGTTTTAAAGTGTAAAGCTGGAACTATAGCTGGCCACTTTTAGACTGTCCTGGTGACATAAAAGGGCTGTAAAAGATGTCTGGAGAACAACCCAAATGAACAGTGTGCAAAATGGCTCCATACTTTTCTAGGCTTTAGTACAGGAGTGTGCCAGGGAAGAGAAAAGAGGGGAATAGCTGAAAAGTGTTGCACTGTGGCTCTCCTTCATGCCTGTTGGATGAACCATGGATTCCAGTACACACAAAGGTGAAGAGCTACCCTAACTTGTCCTTCAAGCCAGAGATGTTCCTGGCTGAGTCAGGAATAACAAGTGCAAGATGGAGTTGAATCTCATTGATTTTTGTCTCTTTTCAGTAATCTGATTAAAATTAAATTACTTCATTGTTGTTTAATACCTCCCCTCTATCAAATTCTAAAGCACTGAATATTAAAAAAAACCCCAAACAGCAAACCTCCCCCCGAATCCTTGAACAGTTCTGCTCACAATCTATGGCTGCTTTTCCGAATACATTTAATGAATACCCCTTTTTAGTGTACTGGAAGATTTGCTCTGCATTTATTGGTGCAATTAACATCACTTAGCCAAGAAACTTTCACCACTGCAAAACCATGGTGAGAAGTAATCAGTGCAGATGAAATGAAGTGAAAATTGAAACACTGGTAATGCTGGTTTTTCCTTTCAGAGCTCTAGAGGATGATAATCAAGATTTTCAAAATGCTGTGCTTAAAGTTAACCACTTGAGTATACAGCTGACATTCAAATGACACTGGCCATCCTAGAGTTACCACTGACTTTAATAAAAAGTTGTTCGTTGCTCAGCAATGTTGAAAATCACACTGATTATCTTGGTCTTCAATAGGGGCTTATTCATCTCATTACATAACAGGTTTTAAAAATTTTGGCTTATGTCTGCTGGTTTAGCATCCTAAAAAAAAAAAATCGGGTTATGCAGACAACTGACACAGGCAATAAGAGAATATACTTTGATGGCCAGACAGACAGAGAAACTTTTTTAAAAAGCAGAGAGATTGGCTATCTGGCCATCTGCTGCATTGAAAAGAACATAACTCAGCTAATGAAGAGCAGAAATAAAGAACTAAAATTCTCATTCAATTCCATCAGTTTCAACAGCAGTTGAGTGAGGCTGATCTGTGTTAGATTTTTTTAGACAGAAAATCATCTAAGCAGCATAAAATCAGCACTTCTATTTTGTCATGATTTTGAAATGAGAGGGTTCATTTTTGTCCAGGGTAAAATGTATAAACCCAGTTGAGTTTGGCCTATGCACCACTTGGAATAGGAAGGAGACTGTACACTCTGTGTTCACACATCAGAATTCCTCCTGTGCTCTGGCTTGCTCTAAGTCATGATGGAACTAGTCCTACTGAGTTTGTAAGCTGTAGGAGTGATTGGACCAGGTGGCCTCCCAGAAAGGCACATTTACCTTGAACAGGTGAACTACACATAGCCTTCATTGCAATCTGAATAGTTTAACAAACCAAATTTTAACCAAGAGGAAGACAAAGTCCTCCATCTCCATATCTGGTGGCAGAAACATTAATGGGCCTTTCTTGGGCAAAGTAGAATTGAAAAAATTAACATTCTTCTAGAATAGTCAACTACATGCACATGCCTATCACACTAGCCTTTCTTATTTCAAACTCATAGCTTTTAAGCACTTCAGTTTGCATTTTAGTCAATGTTTCTTTATGTGTACTTTTGCATGTAGTAGAAACAATAAAAGTACTTATACTTAGTGAGGCTCATTTGAATAGTTTGAATGACTTCCAATAACCTACTAATTCAGGAACAAACATACTTAAAAAAACAGTTAAGTTCACGAACATATATTTTTATAGCTTCAAGTACTTTAAGTTAACAACTATGTCTTAAAATTCAGAATTGATTTTCAGTAAATCAATTAGAAAACTTTTACTACTTTGTGAGTTTACTTAGCTGCCCGCAATGGAATGTATCTTTTATCTCACTGAATTATAAACTAATTATTTTGCTAATGTCATTGTAGTCCTAAATATATTTCATAGCAGAATTCTTATAATTAATTTTTATCTACCAGAAAGCACTAATCAACTAGATTTGTCACTTCCAATGCAATATTATTGCATTCTGACATGTCCAATCAGAGTAAGTGTTAATTTAGATTTAGTGATAAATGATTTCCAATACATCAGTAGTATTCGTGTCTCTAATATATTTTAATATAGATTATTTGTTTAAGTGATATTTCACCTTTGATTATATTTATGAATGGGTTTCCACCGACCTTGATGTGGGGCTCCGAAGGAAGGAAGGACTATATTCATTCATTATTCATGCACAAACAGTGGTATTTTTGTCTGCGTATAATGTATCTATTTTAAAATGTTTTTTAAGGTTTAAATTTTCAGTAAGTCCAAAGGCAAGTATACACTCATCTCTCATAACCAGCAAACAGAAGTAAGCATGTACTCCCGTGAGTCTCTTTGAAAGCCCTTCTCTCAATCTCCATTTCTTTCAAAGTGCTCACACTGAAATAATGTGAATGAAACTGAACTGTGCAGTGGGAATTAAAAGCAGAAGAATGATTGCAGCCTCAAAAATTCTTACTAGGAGCACAGTTCGTGAGTGGACGAATGCCAGGTCTGAGCACTCTGCCCATACACACAGGAGTGCAATGCAATGTACCAGTGGTAGCAAACCGTGAATTTCTTTCTCATGTGTAGTGGGATTTTCTAGTTGTGTAAATACTGATAAATGTCACTTTTTCTTATGGGTAGGATAAAAAATACAAAGCAAAGAAAAACAACATGAAAAACAATCCCTGGGCCCTATATAGCTGATAGGGGCCAAGTTAATATGGGCCCTATATCAGTCATGAAAGTCAGAGGTAATATGGATACAGCAGAGTAACTCTGGGCTGCTTTAACAACTTATGTTGAAGACCTGTTTGATAAATCTATATTCAGCATCCAAGAAAACAGATGCCTGCATATGGAGGTACTATGACTTCTTTCAAATGTGGCACATGCAGTTTCATGCAGTTTTGTATCTTTTTTCTTGAAAACTGCACCTAGTAAAGATTTGGCTTTGTTTAAAGCACTGGCTCTTGATAACCTGTCAGATGGTACAGGGGTCTGTCTCTGCTTGAAGAATTCATGTCCGGTATGATGTAGCTCTAAATGGCCACAGTCTCTTTTTATACTTCGAGGCAACAAGTGACCGCAAGAAAGAGGGCAGTTTACCCCTGAGAAGATGAAATTCTCCATGGAAACCAGAAGTAAATTCAGAATAAAAAAGAACCATGTGTCTTAAATGGCAAATAACAGCAACATAAAAATGAAGAGTACACTGGTAACTGAAATTAAGAATAATGCTCTTCACAGCTCTGCCTTCACACTAAAACTGGTGAGATGTTCCAGCTGTAAATAGAAGTTGGAAAACAGTCAAGGCAGTATTAGCAACTGCAAGACTTCTTCTGAATTCACTGAGCCCAAATAAAGGTTAGAGTCATACCTGGAGTCTTGAAATTTCTCAGCTGAGATGGAGTGTCACAGATTTCCAAGATCCAGTCACCTGCTGCTTTTTCACTCCAGCAGTGAGTAGTCATAAACTCCCAGTTTTTGAATCCTTCCATGGAATGATCAAATAACCTAAAATAAATCACGACATTATTTTAAGTGAACCATTTTATTTAGGGAGCTAAGCCTCCAAGTCTGCAAATTCTTGAACGACATACTAATTAGCCAGTTCATTCACCTGTGCCTTTACATAATGTTACTCATGATGGTTTTCCCACACATATTTCAAGTACATTCAACAGTTTCTTGTTGTTTTGATGGAAGAGATTCTTTACATGCCATCATTTGTCATAATGTGAAAGAGAATGGAAAGATAATTAATTTTAAAAAAAATGCTAGTACTGTTTAATAGGATTGCTTTAATAGCAATCCTATTGCTATTAATAGCATGATGTAAATACAAACAACTCATAAGTTGGAAAATTTCTGTAACATTTATTTTTGGTTTTGGATTGGAATACTTAACAGGGGTTTAAAAACAATAAAAAGTATTAAGTGACTGAGACAATATTAGCGATTCAATATATGCGACTTCTTGTGAGGAAATAAAAGGTAACTGAGACATTGGTCTCCATCCTCAAATGACCAAGGTATCACCCTCTTCAAACACTTGACAGAACTGAGTTTGGGTAAAACTGAGAGACTAATGGCATCTGATGGTTTCATCTAACCAACAACATTACCATAATTTAATTACCTAGGTCTTGGGGGAAGAAGTTGGAGCTTAGGCCTGGATTACAATAATTTCTAGTATGGGGGCCCAGTTCAGAGGTTGCAATGTGATGCTGATCCCATGGGGCAAGACGAAGGAGCCAGCGATTTTATTACCTAGAACTGGAATTTATTAATGAGATTTTGGAAAGACACAAGAGAATTTGCACTTTTATTCAGTGCTCACAGCTTGTTGCCTGGTACCCCAAAGCTATTGATGGGAGGTGCACCCTAATCAAGACTGTTGCCTCCAATAAAACAGCACAGCTCAGCTTTAAAAAATACACATATATACACACCCATATATATGTATGGATATATATTTCTATATAGATACATGCATATATATACATATATGTATGTATATCTATATATATACACACATATATGTGTATATATTTATCACATTTTTAATTTGGCCTTTATATGTGCAAATTCCACTGGTAATAGCTATGCTTAAATATTTTTCATTAAAAAAATCTCTACAGTAGAAAATCCAATAGATTTAAAACCCTTTTCCAAGAGATAGAGAAAAATCTAGTATTAGACTACAAAAATATCATGATATTTTACACTGACTCGATTCTTTACTGTTATTTTCTAAGCTAATTTCAAGCTTTATTCTCAAAAGTTTGTGAAGTTCAGCAAACATTGGGAAAGCAGGATACTTTTGTAGCAATGTGAGTATGTGTCAATTTCTGGTAAAAATCGCCACAAAGGATGTGAATAAAATACCATACTTCTTGCTGAAAACTTTGGTCAGTTAGAGGCATGTGTTCAGGTACTGTGTATCCACGCTTACTTCAATAGGACCTGTATGGAGCTGCATGCCTGCTGTACTTTATAGGACTCAGCCCAAAGCTGATTTTCACACTCTCATTTGTGCAACCTTTTTCCATTATAAATGAATGCCTATAATAGTACTTTTTTTTTATTAGTGTTGATAACATTAAATTAAAATATAGATATATATTTAGAATTAGGCTTCATTTTCACTGATAACTGGGTGAGATTTTCTTCTGATGCAGTTCTGTGCCTCTGTGTGTGTGTATATATATATATAAATTCTGCCAGCAGAATTGGCCTGTTTCATGTCACTGTTAAATCAGTTGTTTGAATACAGCAAATCTCACAAACACATGGCACACATCATTTACTGAAAGGGTAGAAATTATTATGCAGTTATTATGCAGTGTTTGCATGTGGATATATCCAATTTAAGTCATTATGGAGGTTATTTCCAACAGTTAGTCAAATTGTCATACCGTGTTCTGCTGATAACTAATGTATTGCTTTCTAAACAACCTGTCAATCTGCCAAGGCAGCAATATTCCTCTTTGCCATTGTGGCAACTAAATTATATACAATGGTTCATCTAGCTTGGAGGTGTCGCTATCCAATTTAAGTCATTATGGAGGTTATTTCCAACAGTTAGTCAAATTGTCATACCGTGTTCTGCTGATAACTAATGTATTGCTTTCTAAACAACCTGTCAATCTGCCAAGGCAGCAATATTCCTCTTTGCCATTGTGGCAACTAAATTATATACAATGGTTCATCTAGCTTGGAGGTGTCGCCGAGGTTAAGTCGGCCTACGCCCTGTGTCAAAATTGCTTCCATAAAGAAAAAAAGACAGGTCATTGTCACAGGAGACTCCTTTCTGAAAGGAACAGAATGCCCAATATGCAGACTGGACCCACTTCTTAGGGAAGTCTGCTGCCTCCTTGGGGCCTGGGTTAAAGATGTGAAGAGAAAACTTCCTACCCTGGTATGGCCTTCCAATTACTATCTTTTATTGATTTTTCACGCAGGCAGTGATGAAGTTGCAATAAGAAGTCCAAGGGCAATCAAAAGAGACTTCAGGGCCTTGGGACGACTGGTTAAGGGATCAGCAGCACAAGCAGTGTTCTCCTCTATCCTTCCAGTTGCAGGCAATGATGAGGGAAGAAACGGGAAGACCCAGCATATCAATACCTGGCTCCAAGACTGGTGTCACCAGCAGAATTTTGGGGTTTTTGATCATGGGTCGGTCTACATGACACCAGGCCTGCTAGCGCCAGATGGGGTACACCTGTCTCAAAGGGGGGAAAGGATATTTGTGCAGGAGTTAGCAGGGCTCATTGAAAGAGCTTTAAACTCGATTTGAAGGGGAAAAGGGATAAAACAAGGCTCAACAGAGATAAGCCTGGGGGCGGCATGCCAGTGTTTGAGGGACCGTGTGCTAGCGAGGTCCTCCGGTCTGCTTCCCAATGTGCTGAGTACACTAGAGCACATTTGAAATGTCCCTGTACTAACGCACACAGCACCCTAGCCATCTCAGTGGAGGTAGGGGATGGAGATCCATGCAGCAGCAAAGATGCAAGGGTTGTTGATGTGCTAGAAACCACGGAAGTGCCTGAGAACAGTCTCATAGGAATTAGGGCTTCTTCCCCCAAAAAGGTGGCGGGATCAATAGCCCAACTGAAGTGCATCCACACCAATGCACGCAGCGCGGGCAACAAACAGGAGGAGCTGGAAGCCAT